TCAGGTTGATTACAGCCATCCAATGACCACTACACTATCTCCAGCCAAACTGGGATTCACTAACTTCTAAGGTAGTATATTAAAGAGCTTTACCATTAGGAGATTTTTCCTAACGTTTCAGTGAAATGATCATTATTTTTGTCATGGGAACAGAAGAAACCATTATGCTTTATCCACTGTAATTCTTCAGACACTTGAAAATTGGTTTCAAAGTTCCCCCTTAATTTTCATACCCAGCTCTTTTGATATTTCATAGGATTTAGTCCTCAGAACTTTATCATCTAGGTCAGGGGTGGGGAATTATGGCTCTTTTATGACCTGTGGAATTCCTAGCTGACTCAGGAATTCTAGGAGTTGAAGTCCACAAGTCATAAAGGGGCCGTAATTCCCCACCTCTGATCTAGATCGTGGGTCCCCAATTCCTGGGCCAAAGACTGGCAGTGGTCCATGGTGCGCCAGAAACCAGGGTGCACAAATGAGCAAAGTCCCATCTGCGCACATGCAGGATGCAGGCAGCACACCCCTCTGTCTGCGGAAAAACCTCTCTCCATACAACCGGTCCCTGGTGCCCAAAAGGATGGAAGACACTGATCTAGATCATCTGTTCTCCACATGTTTTTGTTGCTACCATCTAAAAGTGTATCATTAAGGAATAGACACGATACTGAAAGAATAGTTTCACCAGTGCGGAATTGACAGAATTTTCTTCTTCTAATAACAATTTCTGTAATTTAAGATTATATTAGCATCTTTTTCCAGGTACATCAGATAATAGGCACATATTCAGATCAACATTTTCCTTATTGTTTTTTCCAATTCAAAACCTGAGAGGTTGGCAAATGTAAGATATATCCTCACAGTAGGTGCAGTAACCCAACATAAAAATTGATGAGATTTTTTTTCTTCAAACAAGTACACAATCCATGGATGCTAAATAAAAAATAAACACAAAGGATAATAAATGGAATATATGAATTGCACTTTACTGAATTTTTACAAGTTGTATCTATTTGTAGATTACATGTAAGATCTTCTCCACCTTAAATTGTAGATCATGTGGTCTTGTTCTTTCATAAACTCTATAAATGTATTTTACAAAATGGCTGGAATTCTCATCATAACAAATTCTGTAACAGATTGATAACAGGGTCAATGAATGAGTTGCTCTCTTTGGTCCCTAAAAAGCTATGGGGCAGCAGAAAGACAGGTCAACTTTTGCAGCACCATGGATAGCTCTGAGTCAACAACTTGTCTCAACAGAGATAAACTTTTCTTTATCCTTGGAAACCTTCCTCTGCCCCTTTTCCTCAAAAAAAAAAGGTACATATTTTTTTTTTTATAATACTTCTCTAGGAATTCACACAGGAATATACTCCAGATGGTTCGTTCTTGCAGCTAGGTTTCAAAGCTGTTGTATGTCATCTAGGTGCAAAGGTCTTGGAAGAAGAGGAGCACCCGGAGACTTCAACTGGTCCAGAATGCGGCCGCGCGGGCGGTGTTGGGAGGGACTCATCGCTCCCATGTAACACCGCTTCTGCGCGAGCTGCACTGGTTGCCAGTGGTCTTCCGAGTGCGCTTTAAGGTGTTAGTTACCACCTTTAAAGCGCTTCATGGCATCGGACCTGGTTACCTCCGAGACCGCCTT